AGGAGGAGGAGGAGGAGGAGGAGGAGGAGGAGGAGGAGGAGGAGAAGAAGAGGAGGAGGAGGAGGAGGAGGAGGAGGAGGAGGAGGAGGAGAAGAAGAAGAAGAAGAAGAAGAAGAAGAAGAAGAAGAAGAAGAAGAAGAAGAAGAAGAAGAAGAGGCGGAGGAGGAGGAGGAGGAGGAGGAGATGGAGAAGGAGGAGAAGAAAAAGGAGAAGAAGAAGACAGAAGAAGAAGAAGAAGAAGAAGAAGAAGAAGAAGAAGAAGAAGAAGAAGAAGAAGAAGAAGAGGAGGAGGAGGAGGAGGAAGAAGAAGAGGAAGAGGAGGAGATGGAGAAGGAGGAGAAAGAGGAGAAGAAAAAGAAGAAGAAGAAGAGGAGGAGGAGGAGGAGGAGGAGAAGAAGAAGAAGAAGAAGAGGAGGAGGAGGAGATGGAGAAGGAGGAGAAAGAGGAGAAGAAAAAGGAGAAGAAGACAGAAGAAGAAGAAGAAGAAGAAGAAGAAGAGGAGGAGGAGGAAGAAGAGGAAGAGGAGGAGATGGAGAAGGAGGAGAAAGAGGAGAATAAAAAGGAGAAGGAGAAGACAGAAGAAGAAGAAGAAGAAAAAGAAGAAGAAGAAGAAGAAGAGAAGGAGGAGGAGGAAGAAGAAGAGGAAGAGGAGGAGATGGAGGAGGAGAAAGAGGAGAAGAAAAAGGAGAAGAAGACAGAAGAAGAAGAAGAAGAAGAAGAAGAAGAAGAAGAAGAAGAAGAAGAAGAAGAAGAAGAAGAAGAGGAAGAGGAGGAGATGGAGAAGGAGGAGATGGAGAAGGAGGAGAAAGAGAAGAAAAAGGAGAAGGAGAAGACAGAAGAAGAAGAAGAAGAAGAAGAAGAGGAGGAGGAGGAGGAGGAAGAAGAGGAAGAGGAGGAGATGGAGAAGGAGGAGAAAGGAGAAGAAAAAGGAGAAGACAGAAGAAGAAGAAGAAGAAGAAGAAGAAGAAGAAGAAGAAGAAGAAGAAGAAGAAGAAGAAGAGGAGGAGGAGGAGGAGGAGGAAGAAGAAGAGGAAGAGGAGGAGATGGAGGAGGAGAAAGGAGAAGAAAAAGGAGAAGACAGAAGAAGAAGAAGAAGAAGAAGAAGAAGAAGAAGAAGAAGAAGAAGAAGAAGAAGAAGAGGAGGAGGAGGAGTAGGAGAAGAGGAGGAGGAGGAGAAAGAGGAGGAGGAGGAGAAAGAGGAGAAGAAAAAGGAGAAGGAGAAGACAGAAGAAGAAGAAGAAGAAGAAGAAGAAGAAGAAGAAGAAGAAGAAGAAGAGAAGAGGAAGAGGAGGAAGAGGAAGGAGAAGAAGGAGAAGAAGGAGGAGAAGATGATGACAACGACACTCAAATTTACTTGCTATTTTTAGTATGGGCAAATGAAGGGCTCATTTAATTATTTTTATTTTTACTTTGGGGTCACATTTGGTAGTGTTCAAGGCTTACTCCTGGCTCTGCATTCAGGATCATTCCTGGAGGGGCTTGAGAGACCATATGGGGTTCCGGGGATCAAACTTGGGTTGGCTGCATGCAAGGCAAGTGCCCTACTCGCTGTGATATAAATGCCAGGATAGTAAATTAATTTTTTGTTTGTTTGTTTTGGGCAACACCCTGTGGTGCTCAGGGCTTACTTCTGGCTCTTCTCTCAGGAATCACTTCTCAGGGGACCATATGGAATACTAGGGATCAAGCCAGGGTTGACAGCATGCAAGGCTACTGCCCTGCCTGCTATACCATCTTTCTGACTCCTAATCTACATTTCTTAAATACCACTCTCATATCAATAACAAAAAAAAATTTAACATTGGTCACATTAATGAACAGAAGTCTCTAGAGTTCAAAAAAGTGAGCTAGCAGAAGCAGCACTTAGAGAAATTGCCTTTGATCAAATCCCGTAACTCCACTAGAATGTGCACACTAGCCCTGAGGTGGATCAATGCCAACTCACACATTCTCACACTGTGCAGAAATCATATAAGGAAACCTGTAGACCACATCAGAGTACCGGAAACTCTCTCAGTAAAACTTTAAATGGCTTTTAACAAAAACCTGTAAGATATAAAAAGCTGAGTCCAAAGTACAATAGACTGCTCAGAATGTCTACAGGAACCCCATCATTCCTTGGGACAGCGCAGAAACAGGGGTGATGCTTCACTGCTCAACCCAATTGCCCATTTAGAAGAAGACCCTGGCTTCTTTGTTCTAGTCACGGGCGCCAAGGAAACCAAGAACACTGTGGCTCTTCTCATTGATGTTAGCGCCAAAGAGCTGTGTGAAATCCCTTAATTTCCTGTTTTCAAGCTGCTGGCAGAGTACATTCCATAAGGCTCGAACTAGGACCACTTGCCATTGACTGCGGTCTTCAATTCTGCCTTTCTTCTAACTCCAAAAGGATCACAAAGATTTGAGAAGCTAAAAGAGCCTACTTAGGGGCCAAAGATGGCAGTTGTTACCAGGGAGAAGGTGAATGTATGTGAAAGTTTGGCGTTGAGAGAGAGAGGAACTAAGAAGTGTAACAGAACGCTTGAAGCAGCAGGAGGGAATGAGAAGTAATGAACTGGAGAGGTAGGAAATTAGAGGAATCGTGAAGGAATTTGCTTCCTGGAAAGGAGGTTGGACCTTCTCCCAAGAGTAAGGGAGAGTTGTGGAAGAGTTTAAAACAAGAGAGAAGCCAGGGTCAGAGATCTAATACAGCAGTTCCGGCCCTTGTCTTGCAGACAGCTGACCAGGTTCTATCATTGGCAACCCATAGGGTTCCCCAAGTACCACAAATAATCCCTGAGTGAAGAGCCGGGAATAAGCTCTAAGCATAGCTGGGTGTGGCCCCAAAATAGTAAAATAAAGTGAGAGAGAAACTTTATTTCAAGGTGGCAAAGCAGACTAAAATCTCGATGCCTAGCACCGAGTGGAATGGAAGGGTCATGCAGTAGAAAGAACAGTGAGAAATCTCCCAAAGGAGCCTATGAGATCACGGTAATGCTGACAGCCCCAGTTCTTCATCTTCATCAAAATGCAGTTCACTAAGATGGGGAAGAAGCAGTATCCAGTGTGTGGGGCGGGGGGGGAGGGGAGAAGGGGGGGTCAGTGTGTGTGTGCGGGTGGTTCTGGGTCTAGGTATGTGTTTTTGGGGTTTGTATCAAGGACTGAACTACGTCTCCATCCCAATTCTTTCATGTTCCGAGAAGAAATGCTGTTTTTGAGAAGGAGCCCCTTGAAATGTCAGTGGGAACATCTGAACATGCAGTTTTCATACCATTCTTGAAAATAGTGGGTGTTGCCACTTTTAGTATTATGTTCTATGGGACTATAAGGGTCAGTTTTTGTGTCAACTTACCTAAGATCAGGGATATCCACATATCTGGTAAAACATCATTTCTGAATGTGAGGATATTTCCAGAAGAAGTATCTGAATTGGTTAACTGAATAGAAAATACATAGTGGGTGGGCTGATCTGGGAAGATATATATCCATATATATATATATATATATAGGTAAAGGCCCTCCCGTTGATCGTCGATTTGCTCGAGCGGGCCCAGTAACGTCTCCATTGGAGACTTTGTTGTTACTGTGTCTGGCATATCGAATACTCTCGGTAGCTTGCCGGGCTCTCCATATCACGATGATTACCTCGAGCAGGCCCCAGTAACGTCTCCTTCATCCTAGCCCTGAGATTTTTAAGAAAGTGCTATATTCAAGGCTCTTTAGGAGAATGAGACCCATCATTGTTACTGGTATTTGGCATATTGGGTACGCCACGGGGAGTTTGCCAGACTCTGCCGTGTGGGCAGGTTACATTCGGTAGCCCGCCAGTTTGTCTAAAGTAGGAATGAGATAATAAGATGTCATAATAAGATGTCTCATGGCCGATATATATATATATATATCACTGTCACTGTCCTCTCATTGTTCATCGATTTTCTCGACCGGCCCAGTAACATCTCCACTGTGACACTTGTTACTGTGTTTGGCATATTGAATACGTCACGGGGAGCTTGCCAGGCTTTGCTGTGCAGGCGAGATACTCTTGGTAGCTTTCCGGGCTCTCTGAGAGGGGTGGAGAAATTAAACCCAGCTTGGCTGGGTCGGTGGTTGCATGCAAGGTAAATGCCTTACCCGCTGTGCTATATATATATACATATATATATATATGTATGTATCAACTTGTGTGAGGCCTTGTGTTCAATTCCCAGAATCCCCTTGCCAAAATGTAAAAAAAGTAGTGGGAATTATATTATTTGAGAGCCAAATATTATAAAATGAGTAGCTAAAGCGATAGCACAATGGGTAGGGTGCTTGCCTTGCACAAGGCCAACCCAGGTTCCATCCCCGGCATCCCATATGGGCCCCGACGCATCACCAGGAGTAATTTTTGAATTCATAGTCAGGAATAACCTGACTGTTATCAAAGTATCAATGATAATAATCACTGTAGGTGATACACATATGCCTGTATATACATACCATATGCTTATACATACACACACACACACACACACACATATATATATATATATATGTTTTGGGCCACACCCGATATTGATGAGGGCCTGCTGCCAGCTGTGCTTGAGAAATATGCAGTTTGAGAAACCAAGATATGTACTTTACCCCTCAGCCACATCCCTAGTTCCTACAGTTTGAGATTCAAATTAAGACAAGAACTTACATTAGGGCTGGAGCGATAGCACAGCGGGTCCGGTGTTTGCCTTGCACACAGCCAACATGGCCGACACAGGTTCAATTCCCAGCATCCCATATGGTCCCCCGAGCACTGCCAGGAGCAATTCCTGAGTGCATGAGTCAGGAGTAACCCCTGGGCATCGCCGGGTGTGACCCCCCCAAAAAAAAAGAATTTACATCAACCCCATTATTCTTAGACCTCTGAACTGAAACTTAATTATATTACCATCTTTCTGATTCTCTAGCCTACAGACAAAAACAGTGGAACTTCTGTTTCTAATACTACGTAAGACGATTTCTTTTTCTTTCTTTCTTCTTCTTTTTTTTAATGTGAGGCAAGGACCGCCCTGCGTGAGGTTCCTGTCTAGAGCAGGTCTCTAATGTGGGATGAAGCCCAGAGCCTCTGCTTCAGGCTTGTCTGAGGGAAGATGAAGAGTCTAAATCTACCCACCAAGAAATCAAGCCATAAATTCCTATAATAGAGTCCCTCTTCTATCTATCTATCTATCTACCTATCTCTAGCTATCTCCTATTTATTTTGTTTCTCTAGAGAACCCTGATCAATACAGGGATCTTCTTAGTGGATATTCTTGGCAGACTTTCTAAGCCTTAGCTGGTTTTATTTGTGTGTGTGTGTGTGTGTGTGTGTGTGTGTGTGTGTGTGTGTGTGTTTGTTAGCTTTGGTTTGAGGGCTGCCCCTGGCATGCTCAGGGCTCCTTCCTTTCTCTGTGCTCAGGAATCATTCCTGCAGTGTTTTGGAGAATGGGGATTAAACCCTGGTCAGCAGTGTGCAAGGCAAGTGCCTTATGCACTATCCCATCTCTCCGCCCATTTTATCATCTTTATATCAGACATGGGTAACTGTGTTCTCATAGTGATAGGGAGCTGAGAAAATGCAGAGCTCCTATCGGTGGAGTACATACCCCCCACAGGCGTGTGCTCGTGCAAATACACAAAGAAGGACAGGAAGGTGGAGAGGCTGCTTGCCTTGCACATGGCTGAGCCCAATTCAACTCCAGGCACTACACAGGGTCCCCAGAGCCCTTCTGAAAATGATCCCTTAAGCACAGAGGCAGAAGTAACCCTGAGCACAGTCAGGTGTGAGGAAGGAAGGAAGGAAGGGAGGGAGGGAGGGGTGGGAGGGAGAGAGGGAGGGAGGGAGAGAGGGAGACTGGAAAGAAATTCCTTTATTTTTCTTTTAGGCCACTAGTAGGCCACCTACTACCAGCTGTGCTTGGTGGGGGTGAGACAGGCAGTGTTGGGGTTGAACTCAAGGCTCTTATACACAAAGTCTGTAATCCAGGACTGAGAATATAGATTAACAGTAGACTACTTCCTTACCTTCCTTCTGTAAGGCCCTAAACTGGATTCCTAGCATTACCAAAGGAAAATAAGAAACAGCATCCCAGAATAAAGCCTGTGCTCCAGCCCTTTGGCCATCTCCCGACCCTGACCCTGCAAGGACATTCTTTCTGTTTGTTTTGTTTTGGGCCACACCCGGTGATGCTCAGGGATTACATCTGGTTCTGCACTTTCAGGAATTACTTTCTGGCAGGGATGCCAGGGATCGAGCCTGACTCAGCCGCATGCAAGAGACTAGAGTTAAGCTGATTTTTGATTCGCTTCTCTGGCCTTTCTCCAACCCCCACCCATTCATTTCCTTCTAAGGACCTATGAGTTTCATAACTAGAAAATATTGTTGATGTTTTCCTTAAAGACAACTGATAATGTGAGCTAAGGAGAAAGGACTGGTGTGTCACAGAGGCATGCCTGCACTGTCCCTGATAAGACAAAAATGTCTTAGTGCCCACTCTCATGTTCTGCACTTCCCAGGCTAGTGAGGGAGACCATACACGAAACCCTTGTCTGCTGCTTCCAGAGGTCCGAGCTTCAGGAAATTTCTCTCAGATACACGAGAATAAGGCCTTGACTGAGTCCACTGAAGCACTATCCTTCCATGGCTTTTTTCCCCTCCCTCCCCCCTTCCTTTTTCCTCCTTCCTTCCTTTCTTTAAATGGAGCAAAGTCTAGATGTTTAGGATAAAGTCACTATCTCATAGCTATGAACTGTCCACAGCTTGATTTCCTTAAAAAATTAATAATAATACTAATAAAAACATTTGGGCCGGAGTGATAGCATACTGGGTAGGGCTGACCCGGGTTCAATTTCTCTGCCCCTCTTGGAGAGCCTGGCAAGCTACCGAGAATATCCCGCCCACACAGCAAAGCCTGGCAAGCTACCCGTGATGTATTCGGTTTTTTTTTTTTTCTTTTTGGGTCACACCCAGCAATGCACAGGGGTTGGTTACTCCTGGTTCTGCTCTCAGGAATTACTCCTGGCGGTGCTCAGGGGGCCATTTGGGATGCTGGTAATCGAACCCGGGTTAGCTGCATGCAAAGGCAAACGCCCTACCCACTGTGCTATCACTCCAGACCTAAAGGGCATATATCTTAGTATAGAATTATGAAGAAAAGAATGAATTTGGATAGACAATCAGGAAACATAATTAGGTGCAACATTAGTTTCAAAATAACATATAGAGGGGTCGGAGTGATAGTACAGCAGGTAGGACGTTTGCCTTGCATGCAGCCGACCTGGGTTTAATCCCCAGCATCCCATATGGTCTCCCCAGCACCATCAGGAGTAATTTCTGAGTGCAGAACCAGGAGTAATTCCTGAGCACCACTGGGTGTGACCCCCAAAAAGCAAAATAATAATAACAATAATAATAACACAGAAAGTCATCTGTTGCTGTTATTTGTTTTTGGCTTTGACCCTCTCCAGCAGTGGTCATTCCAGGCAGTGCTGTGCGAGTCTGACCATTTTGAGTTCAGGACTGGCACTGCAATGCTGGTTGGACTCAGCCGGACCTGGGCTACACCTAGTAGTACTCAGGAAACCATGTTTTGGATTAAAGCTGAGGATAGAACAAGGCCTATACTCTGGCACCCCAGGCCAAAAATTTTACCTTTTTTTTTTTACGGTTTGCTTTTTTGTATATGTAACATCTGAAAATATTTGCAGGAGTTTCTTAGGATACACGTGTGCACCTGTGCGCGCGCATGCGTACACACACATACACACACACACACACATACATATATATATGCACATATATTACTAGAATATTACTCAAAACTGAGTTGGGGTAATAACCGAACTGGAGGCTAAACTTAATTGTAAATGTCACTAAGAAACATAAAAAAAATACACTATATAACATTATATCAGGGGAAAGGGGTTCATTACTACTTTCATCTTTCTTTTGTTTTGGGGTCACACCTGGTGATGTTCAGGGAGTACTCCTGGCTTTGCTCTCAGAAATTACTCCTGATGGTGCTGGGGAGACCATATGGGATGCTGGGGATTAAACCCAGGTCTCGGTTGGCCATGTTCAAGGCAAGTGTCCTACTGGCTGTACTATCTCTCTTACCCTCTCTGCTATCTCTCCAGCCCTCTGAAGCAGTTTCTATTAGGTAACATCAACATCAATCAGGACAAAAATGTGACTTTTATGAATCAAAATAAAAACAAGAATCACTCTTGTTACCATATTTAAAAAGTAAACACTGTTCACACCACAAAAATGACTAAACACTCCCTTTTTTTTTTCTGGCTCATATAAGGGACTGCTGCATCTTTGCCAGTTACAGGTTTAGTGTCTCTTCATTTGTCTCACCTTGAAATGTGAACTAAGCAAGCCAAGAGTCATCCCTGCCTCCTGGAAGTATTAATAAGAGAGGAAAACCCTAAGGTTTTTTTGAGTTTTTCTTCAAATCACACCCAAGTCCTTTCTGTCACCTACTTACTGATGGTCCTTCACTGCAAGGGTCATCTTTGTTCTATTCTGGGTATCTTCTTTGGCTGGAGGTCAGCTGAAATAATCATCTCAGGTTGTGCCATGGGGCCACGTTCTGAGGTGGGAAAAATGGACTGTGAGCAGTTGGGTAGCGTAGGGTGGGTATGGTATAGCGTATGGTATAGCGTATGGTATAGCGTAGGTTAACCCTGATAACCCCTCTAAGACTTTATCTCCAGATGGCCCACTCAGTGCCTAACAGACTTTTTTGTACCTTGCCAGTATCAGATGTTTGTTTGTTTTGGGTTCTTGGGCCACACCCTGCAATGCTCAGGAGTTAATCCTGGCTCCACACTAAGGAATTACTCAGGGCAGACCATATGGGATGCGGGGGACTGAACCTGGGACTGCTTGCTTGTAAGGCAAGTGCCCTACCAAATGGCCTACCTGCTGTATTACCTCTTCGGCCCCAGTTTGTATTTTTGAACCCATGACCTCATACAACCAAGGTATGTACTCTAGCTTTAAGCCACACAATTTTCCCTTCAAGGTATCAACAACTTCACTTATATTAAATCAGAGCCCAGCAGGCTACTGAGAGAATCTCGCCCGCACAGCAAAGCATGGCAAACTACCTGTGCCATATTCGATACGCCAAAAATAGTACAAGTCTCACAATTTGTTGTGAACTGGTGCCCGTTCAAGCGAATTGATGAACAACGGGAGGACAGTGGTACAGTGCTACATAGAAGGAGGAACCGGACAGATAGAACAGTGAAGCAGGTGTGGGGCTGGAGCGATAGCACAGCCGGTAGGGCGTTTGCCTTGCACACGGCTGACCCGGGTTCGATTCCCAGCACCCCATATGGTCCCCTGAGCACTGCCAAGAGTAATTCCTGAGTGCAGAGCCAGGAGTAACCCCTGTGCATCGCTGGGTGTGACCCAAAAAAGAAAAAAAACAAAACAAAGCAAAAAAAACAGTGAAGCAGGTGTTTGCCACAGGTACTGGGCTTCCGTTCCTGACCCATCCCAGCACCACCTAAGTCTGCAGAGTCCTGCCAGGAGTAAGCCCTGAGCGCAGAGCCAGGAGTAATCCCTTGTGCACCTCCGGGTGTGGCCCCAAACAACAACAACAACAACAGAAAGGCATAGAAGGACTTAGTAGTTGATAACATGGGGAACTGTGTGTCAAGTGGGTTCTCAGGGTCCCAGAGGTTAATTCGCCTACTTTTCTCATAGCACCCATGCAGACAGGTACTGCAGTTTTCGGGTTTTACTACCGAGGAGACCAAAGTACGGCGGCCAACAACTTGGGGGAAATGAGGATGAGTCGAGTCTTACGCCACTTCCTAGGCCCTGTCCGTCCGTCCGTCGTCCGTCCGTCCGTCTGTCCACTCACCCACCCACCCGCCCATCCATCCACCCAATCCATCCACCCATCCATCCATCCATCCACCCATCCATCCACCCAATCCACCCATCCCATCCCGTCCCATCCCATCCCCCAGCCCTGGCCAGCGCTGCCGCCGCCATCTTGCCCGTAGTCGGCCAGGACCACAACTCCCAGCAGCCCCCGCGGCGGCCGCTCGGCCCCCGCCCCCCCCCCCCCACAACAAATCCCGGCGTGCCCCGGGGCGGCCCGGGGTGGAGGGTTCTAGAAGGCGTGACGTGCGGTCGGGAGTGGGCTCGGAGGCGGGCGCGCTCGGCAGGCGCTGTGGCCGCTACGCCGGGCCCGGGGACGCGTGCGGCCGCGGCGACGGGCGCCGTTCCTCCCCTCCGCGGCCATGGCGGCGCTCGGCCGGCCCTTCGGCGGCCTCCCCCTGAGCGGCGGCGGCGGCGCCGAGTTCCTCCAGCCGCCGCCGGCCTTCGCGGGCCGGGCCTTCGCGCCGGGGCCGGACGGCGCCGAGCTGGCCCCGCGAGCCGGACCCCGCGTCGGCGCGAGCAGCCCGGGCGGGAGCGCGGCGCGCGGACGGTGAGGAGCCCCGCGGGCGGGCGGGCGGGCGGGGCGGGCGCGCTGCCCTCCGGACGCCCCCCGCGGCCGCCTCCGGGGACGACTTCGGCGCCCCCGGGACGCTCGGCGAGCGTGGGAACCGGGGGCTGTCCCCGCGCGGGCGCCCCCCGTCCCGCGGCGGGGCGCCCACCCCCGGGACCGCGGGCACGGTCACGCTGCTCCAACTTTTCTCCCGAGCGACCGTGTGCGCGGGTCTGGGCACCCCGCGCCCCGCGCGCGAGCGGAGACGGGCAGCCGGGGCTGGGGGGGGTGGGGGGCGGCACCCCACCCCCCAGCCCCGCACGGTTCTCAATGCGCCAATTTTGTTTGTTTCAGCTTCATGCTTCACTGTAGGAAGAAGCACAAGCGCGAGGAAGAGGACGATGAGTAAGTTTCGGCTGTCACCTGTTCGTTGATGGTCACTGAACGGACGTCGGCCAGTTCGTTATTTCGTTTCGTTTCGTTTCGTGGTGCCAAAAATCAAACCAAAGGCTACGTTGCTTTGCCACCGGTTTTCAGTCCTCTAATGCATCCCGGGAGCTGGGAGTGACACCTGCACGTGTCTCAGTCTCCTGGCACCCACTTAAACTTGCGGTTCCGTGCTGGTGATCACACGGACACCCTGGACACGCAGCACCTCCACCCCGTTTCTCTCCCTTCTCCCCTGGCACGGTGGCCCGAGTGTTGTTAAACTCGCTTCACTTGAGATTTGTTTGTTTACTTTGGTAATTAACCTCTGTCTGTTGGAGGATCCAGTTGATACTTGAATTTAACATTCTGGCTAACTTTGCCTAGCATCATTGTCTCAACTTCTGTTCTTTTTGTTGCAGCAGGCAAGATTTTCTTCTTTTTAATTGTCCTTCATTGGGTCTGGGGTCCAGGGCTGCTTTATCTCATTATTTGTTGATGGGCACTCAAGTCTTCCAGCGAATTCTTTGTGTTTTAGGATTAAGCCCTTATCTGATGCGTGGCATGAAAATATCTTCTGGTAAGAGGATGCTTTTTGTTGTTTTGTGATTTCTTTCGCTGTAACCTTTTCAGTTTAGTCCCAGATAATTTTGCTTGTCCCCTTTGCCTTTGTAGATGACTTTTCAAAGTTTTCATGTCCAAACATTACCTTTTGTTTTTTTCTGTGTATTTCATGGTCTTGGGTCTTATATTAAGTCTTGAATACATTTTTAGTTTATTTTAGTGTGTGGTATTAAATAATGATCTAGTTTCATTTTTTGATATATGGTTTAATCAAGGTTTCCCAGCATCATTTGTGGATTTTTGTTTTGTTTTTGTTTTTGGATTCTCAGGGGTTACTCTTGGTTCTGCCCTCAGGAATCACTCCTGGCAGTGCTGAGAAAACCATATGGGATGCTGGAGATTAAATCTAGGTCAGCTGTGCAAGGCAAATGCCCTAAAACGTGTGGGCTTATCTCTGGACTCTAAATTCTGCTCTGTTGATCTGTGAATCTTGTTCCAATTCTATGCTGTCAAGTAGTGGTACTTCACATTATGAGTTTAAGTCAGTGAGAGGCCTCCAGTGTTCTTCCCTCTGGACTACGTTGATTTCTGGTGTCTTTTGTGATTCTGTAAAAATTTTAGAATTCTTTTTTCTATTTCCTTGAAAAATGCCATTGGAATTTTGATAGGGATCGTATTGAATCTGTGTTTGGGTTATATGGCCATTTTAACTGTGTTTACTTAACCAGTTCGTGAACATTGTATAACTTGCCTTTCTTTTGTCTCTCTCTTTTTTTTTTTTTTTTTTTTTGAGGCGAATATTCTGGCCACAACCAGCAGTGTTCAGGGCCTACTTCTGATTCTTTGCTTAGGGATCACTCCTGACAGTGCTTGGGGCATCATACATGGTGAAGGATCAAACAAGGGTCAGTGACTTGGAAAACAGGTTCTCTAACCCTTGTACTGTGTCTCTGATCTCAGTTTGTGTCTTCTATTTCTTTTAACAAAGTCTTGTAGCTCCAGATCTATTTTTTTTTTTGTTTTGTTTATTTTGGGGCTGGAGCGATAGCACAGCGGTAGGGCGTTTGCCTTGCATGCAGCCAACATGGCTGACCCGAGTTCGATTCCTCCGCCCCTCTCGGAGAGCCCGGCAAGCTACCGAGAGTATCTCGCCTGCACGGCAGAGCCTGGCAAGCTCCCTGTGACGTATTCGATATGCCAAACACAGTAACAAGAAGTCTCACGATGGAGACGTTACTGGGCCCCCTCAAGCAAATCGATGAACAACGGGAAGACAGTGACAGTGTTTATTTTGAGGCCACACTAGCAGTATTCAGGACTTACTCCTGGCTCTTTGCTTAGGGATCACTCCAGGTTGACTTAGACCATATGGGGGTACCAAACGATGTGCTGCTTGGACCTGGTGATGCACTGGGGCTCCAGAGCCCCACCCATTGGTATTCAGGGGACTGTCAGGTGCCAGGGATCCAGCTGTCATGTAACCTGCTCTAACCCCTATACTCTTGCCCTGCTCGACATGCACTTGCAGGGTTTTTGGTGTTTTTTCTTTTTTTTTTTACAGTAGCCCGGCAAGCTACCGCGAGTATTTCGCCCACATGGCAAAGCCTGGCAAGCTCCCCGTGACACATTCAATATACCAAACACAGTAAGAAGAAGTCTAACAATGGAGACGTTACTGGGCCCGCTCGAGAATCGATGAACAACGGGAGGACAGTGCTACAGTGCAGTGCCACAGTAGCAGGAACCAGACCCCAGAACCTCACACGTTCCAAATATTACTCTGCTATTGAGCCACATCCTTCACCCTGTTTTATCCTTTTTTGATGGGATTGTAAATAGATTTTTTTCTCCTCCTCAAAATTCGTTGCAAGTAAATATGCAAAATTTTTGTGTTGATTTTGCATCCTGCCACTTTACTTAATTCATTTATACTAGTAGTTTCTTGGTGGAGTGTTTGGGTTTTCTTCTTTTTTTCTTTCAGTCTAGGTTTTCTATGTGTATTGTTATCTGCTAAGCACATAATCATTGTTTTATTTTCTCACCCAAATTCTGTCTTTTTTGGTACCTGATTGCTCTAGTTAGGAATTCTAAAACTTTGTTGAAAAAATAGTGCTAAGAATCGACATTGGCATAACTTTGACTTATTTCTGATTTCAGCTTAGGTTATGAAAGTTTTGAGGATTTTTTGGTTTTTTCTTATGATTATGGTGTTAGCTGTGGATTTGAGATATGCTTCTGTATTCCCAGTTTTGTAAGTGTTTTGGATTTTTTTTTTTTTTTTTTGGTTTTTTGAGCCACACCCAGCAGGAGTCAGGACTTACTCCTGGCTCTGTACTCAGGGATTACTTCTGGCTGGGCCTCAGGGAACCATACAGGGAACCATGCCAGGGATTGGACCTGGGGTGGCTGTGTATAATGCAAGCACTTTACCTGCTGTACTATCTCTCTGGCCCCTGTATTCCCAGTTTATTTTTTCCATAAAGTAATTCTGTCTGGGCTGGAGCGATAGCACAGCAGGTAGGGCATTTGCCTTGCACATGGCCAACCCGGGTTGATTCCTCCATCCCTCTCAGAGAACCCGGCAAGCTACCGAGAGTATGCCACCGCACGGCAGAGCCTGGCAAGCTCCCCGTGGCATATTTGATATGCCAAAAACAGTAACAAGTCTCACAATGGAGACGTTACTGGTGCCTGCTCGAGCAAACCGATGAACAACGGGAGGACAGTGCTACAGATGTGGTATATCACAGTGATTGATTTGCATATATTAAACCAAATACCACTTGGTTACGAGTCTCTAAAAGTACTGTTGGATTTGATTCACCAAACTTTTGTTAAGGATTTTTGTATTTTTGTCAACAAAATTAAGTGGCTATATCTGAAAAGAAAGTACAAGGAATTTGTCACATTGTTTGCCTTTTTTGCCCTAACAGGGTGACAGGTAGTTTAGAGGGAAACATTTTTTATTAGTAGTATAGTTTAGGTAACATGTTTCAATAGTGTTATTTATTGTTTATGGTTTTAATGTACAGTTACTACACTAGAAAGAAACTTGTAACTTAGCTGGTAGTAATGTTAAAATTTTTTTAATCATGTGACTATTGTTGCATACTCAGAAGAATTCCCAGAGTGCAAAAGGGTACAGATTTTCCTTATTCCCAGTTCTCTGTGAGGCACTGTCCGCTCATTATTTCTTCTTTGGAAGAGGATATAAAATTTTACACATTTACAACTGTATATACCTTGGAGTTTTTAATGGTTAGATATATTACAGGAAGTTCATGCTGAAAAACATTCACCTTTTCATTTAAGTTATTTTTATTTTTCTGTTTTGGGTCACACCTGGCATTGCTGTATACTCAGGGATCATTCCTGCTGGGCTCGGGCGACTACATGAGGTCCCAGGCCGACTGCAGACAAAGCAAATCCCCTACCTGGTGTATTGCTGTTCAGCCCCTCTTAAGTATTTTTAATCTTTTGCCATAGCTAACAGATCTACCATGAACTTTTAAAGTTCTTTGTATATATTTGCAAATAGGACAATGAATGCACAGATGCAGGACTGTTGGGTCTCAAAGTCTATATTCATTTTCATTTTGAAATAAGAGCTGCCAATTTACATGCATTCCTTTTCACAGTGGGAATTCCTCTTTCTACATTTTCTCACCGGAACTTTTTAAAAAAAATTTTTGCTGCCACTTTATACAAGTGTCAAAAAGTGATGGGGCAGGAGAGATAGTACAGTGAATAAGGCACTGTCCTTGCACTCAGCTCACCTGCGTTCAGTCACTAGCACCCCGTTTGGTCCCCTCAGCTCTACCAGGAGTGATTCTGGAGCACAGAGCCAGGATTAACTACTGATCCCAGAGGTGGCCCCAAAACTAATATTTTAAGGAGATACCTCGTGGGCCAGGGAAATAGCCTTTATAAAGAACTCAAGTTTTGCATATTAGAGTCCTGGGTTTGATCCCCACCTCTGCATGGTTCATTACCCCAACCTCACCCCCAGAACACAATTGGGAGTAGCCCCCAAGCACTGATGGAACAAAAGAGTTATAGAAAAGTAGCTTATTACAGAACTAGTTTAAAAAAAAAGATTACTCAGATCACCGACCAAACAAAACTATCTTTTGAAGAGTTCAGACTTTAGGAAAATACATGCTGTTAATTTTTTAAAAGCAAAAAAACTTTTTTTGGTTTTGGTTTGTTTGTTTTTTAAACAAGAAAGTTTCTGTTTTTATTTTGGGGCCATACCTAGCGGTGCTCAGGGCTTACTCCTGGTTCTAACCTAAGGGTCGCTTTGTGCAAGGCAGATGCCCTACCTTTTGTACTATTGCTCCGCAAGCAGGAAAGTTTTTATTAAAATTAACTCAGAAAGATGTGAGGGGAAAAGTGAAGTTTGTGTTTGAGAGAGA